CCTGCAGACCTCGAACTCTTCAGACGAGTCTGCCGATGAGCAAGCTGCCATCGCTTTCGCTCGCCCGCAACTCCGGGTTGCGATAAACCGTGTGAGCTGGCCTGGGCAGCACAGGGCCTTGACTATCGCAGCTATCTTGACTTGGGCTCCGCGGCTGTTCGGTCTCAGCATGTTGTATATGGATTGTCGGAACCTCTGGTACGTTGTGGTTCTTGGAGAAAGCTGAGCGATATTTCGACCGTGCCGTCATCTTGGGCTGAAAACCGTGTGACGGCATGTCGGGTCGCTCAAGGTTGCTGCATTCGATGAACTCGTCGTTACGGGAGGTTGAGCGGGAGCTCTTCGGGCGGCTGATGCCGGTTATCGAACGGCGGCGCCCTGAGTCATCGCCGGAGGTGAATTTGCGGGCGACGATATCGTCTAGGACAGATTTGAAGTCGTCGAGGAAGATGGTATCGGATGCACACTTGAAGACGAGAGCGAACCGCCAGTATGGATTGATTCCGCTACTTGCTGTGACTTTCGCAGCGCTGACAGCAACGTCAGTGAGTAGGAAGACAATGGAGAGTATCATGCATGCCAGCATGACACCAAACCTCCTGTTGATACCGACAAGAGTCCAGAGACTGAAGGCGTAGGTCTTCTTGATGGCGTGTATCAGCTTCCATGTCGTGAATATCCACCAAGGATCGCGGAGTAGAGCCTCCCACGGCCTCATGCGAGGGTTGATGTTGGAGCCGTTTGCAAGTTGGTTGAAGTAGGCAAAGTTTGACCACGCCTCTGCTATCCAGAAAGGTTGAACACAGATTAGCGATATGATGAAGAAACGAGATCCCCAGAGTGGCAGGAAGGGTCGGATCTTGAGCCACGAGACGACGTTGTGGAGGAAATATGATACGAAGAGTAGGGTTGCAGTCGCGCTGAGGTACCAGCCATATTTCGGATCGTCGACGAAGATGAAGGTACCATGCCAGATGGCAAGAACAAGCTGAGTGGGTTAGTAATTGGTATATACGATGAAGCAACTTGCTTGCAGAGCAACACCGAGACTCACCTCAAGTAGAATAAGCTTGTGAAGCCACATGCCAGAGCGGTAGTTGCAGAAGACGATCAAGATGAGGATAATCAGAGCGCCGACATTGTATCCTTGAGCCCATGCCTCGAGAAAACCGCCCTCGGTCGTCATGCTCTCTCTGTTTGGTGGCGAAGTACGCGTCGTAGCCGTTCCGGGGAATCGCTTCGCTACGGCCAGCATGTCCATGGTGCTGAGCGGTGCCATTGTTGTTTCTTGTCAATTCTGAGATCAGAGCGAAGCTGAGTCCGGAGCCATGTAAGGCGACTTCACTCACGTCGCGTATGAAGTGAGAGCGCGTCGACAAAGTGGGGCCGATCGTGGGCGAGAAGACGGGTGAGTGGCAGCAAGAGGCGTGAAAGAAACCCGGGGTATTGCTGCCTTACATAGAGTGGCAGAACCGGCTTTCGGGTAGACGTTATAGCAAAATGTAACGTTCATACAAACCTCTGCCGCCCTTCCAATGTGGCGGGACCGGCAACAAGGCAGTTGGGCTGGGTGGGCACAGCGAGGCTTTCAGGGCTGCTGGCCGCAGTAAGCCTCTCGCGCTGGCCACGGAAATACGGAACACATGATCGCATTGCCATCGCGACGGACATGCCGCGGCTCTAAATTCTGACAAACATATTGCGCACCAAGTCTAGGTTGCGCAGACGTCTTATTGCGCGACGGAGCAAATAGGCGGAGCCGGGTGTTGTTGGTGTGATGCGCTGTTGATCGGCAGTGATGTCAGGCGTGGCTGTGGTTGACAGGGCTGCCTTCATCTGCCTGAGACGAAAGCGAAAACCTTACGCTGACTCGACGCCAAGGTCTGTTGAGCCTCATTTCAAGTAGTACATAGTAGTACATTTGGGCGCGCATTCATAAGAGCTACTGCAATAGCGGTCAACTTGACTTCCACTACCTGAGGGCGAGCAGTCAGCGAACCTCGCGCGTAGTATCTGTGTTGGGCGAACTGCAAGGAGCAATCGGTGTAAGCACACTAACTGTGCGACGGAGGACGGCAATGAAGGGGCGATCAATACCGTGCCTGGCAACAATGTAAGCCATGGCAATGAGGGAAGATGTCATACTGTCGCAAAAGGAACAAAGAGGTTGTTCCAAGATCTCATATGCCCGGCATGATCTCATCCGACGATTCCACCAACCTGTCACGCCAACGAGGCTGCATCAAAAGTACAGCAAAGCAGAAAAAGCCATGAAACACGCATGCGGATGTCGAAAGTTTGTCTAAAAGTCGTTTCTATATCTATGATAACATTACGGAGGGTGACGTACGATCTATGACCCGATTGGCTGCAAGCGCCAGGGCGCAAACTAAGCCAGGGGCCGAGAACCCTTAGGCAGAGGAACAAAGAAACCGCCCAACCTCTCCAATCTCCCCATCCGCTTCTTCCAGGAAGCCTGGTATCTTCTTTGTGTTCGCGATCGTCAAGTCCAGGAAGCCCGGTTTTACCCAGTGTGCGTCTTTTCTTCTTTGCCCGCAACCGCTATGCGCGTCTTGCCCCACCGGAAATCGTCCATCCTCCACAGCGTGTAGAACTGCGTGCAGACGTTGACGTAGGCTGCGGACCAGGTATAGGCAACGCAGCCAATGACCGTCTGGACAACATCGATGAACGAATCGCACGATATGAGGGTGACCATTAAGTCGAAGACGCGTCGGTAGTACTCGAAAGCTACGATGTAAAATATGGTCCGATCGTCCAGGTCACCTGTTAACCTGATGTTAGCAAGTTTCAAGAATCACAGGCTGAGTGGTACGTACGGAAGAATCTCGAGATGAGAAGCGCTGGGTTCTGCACCCAATGCGTCAAGGAAGCCAAAGCAGAAGCTCTCTCCATCCAGCCTGTCGATTTGCGACTAAGGAGGAGGCTGTCGCTTGTGAGCGGCCCCAGCGTCCATCTACGGCGTTGACTGACAAAGACCGAAGGCGTAGTCGGTGCCGTAGTGTACGCCCGCGCACTGAGGTTCACACGCGTCCGGACGTGGGCGTAGTGTGCAATGACGAGACAGACGTGATCTCTGTCCTCGCTCATCATGGAACGGACGGTTCGAAACAGACCATCGGAAGCCTTGGGATAGTATCCAAATTTCCCCAGGATGAAGTCGCCCATTGTCTCCTCGCAGACTCGCAGTAGTTGACAGCAGCCAGGCAGGCACGTCACCTTTCCACTTGTGAGACTCTGGCGCAGGCGACGCCGGTGCTGGCCAACCATGTACTCGGCGTTCTGATAGAGATACGAAATTGTCCAACCTCCCAAAGCAATCGGGTCTGGTCGGATGTAGCCGGTTACTCCCACGATCTCTTCGCCTTCTCTTGCGGTCTGCATCAGGTTGCGAACGCATTTGGTGTCGAATCGGGTGTCTGCGTCTATTCCCATAGCGTAATCCACTTTCTGGATGGATTGGGTCTCGAGGAAGCCTGAGAGCTCGGCGAAGAGCTTGGGCGAGATCATCTTCAAATCAGGGTTCGCCTTGCGCTGATTGAATTTGTTCAGGAACGTCCGGATGAGAATGATACCATCTCGTTTCCCGCGGTTTTCGTTCTTGATAACGCAGATGATTGGAAGACCTCGGAATTCACCCTTGATGATTTCAATGTCCATTGGGCCGTCGTCCCAGGCCGTATATGCTTCATTCATGAAAGTGCTAGTCGGGCGCTCAACAATATCTTCTTTGAGATGGGCGGATGTCGTCTTGGTCATGCCCTTGCAGCTAACACGACCATCGCAAACTACGACAATAGCCTTCTTGTGATCATCCAGAGACTGCTGCTCCGCCAGCGAAACCAGCGAATTCATCATCTCTTCATACGACTCGTTGTAGCAGCAAAGCAGGTAGACCAAGCTCTCCGGTGTTGCGGGGATCGTGATCTTAGGCGGGTTCAATCGCTTTCGAATGAGGGCATGGATGACCATGGTGATTTCGATCATGTCCACAACGGCTCGAAGAATAAGGTTCGGAAAGAGGACCCAGGAATACTTTGCCCAGTTTGCGAACATGTACATTATGAAAAGGCTGAGTGGCTTTATTAGCAACTCGTGTCTTGCGCACTGAGGAGTGATGGCATTGATTCACTTACTTGAATGGTATTAAGATGGCCCATATGACATATTTCTCAATCCTGAGACGATCCGTATTGACATCTGGAAGATGTTCGATAGCGCTGCTCAAAACCTTGGAGGAGAAAAAGCGCGATCGTTTCTTGAGATTGCCAGCAATCTGAGCGCCCGAGCTCGCGGTATTGAGGACATCCATCTTCATGGGGGAAAGATAGGGATTCCTGCGTCGTGATGTGGTGAACGGCGAGTGCTGCAGGAGCGAAAGATGCTATTCTAGTATGTTGTAAAAACGCCATGTACCTTTTCTCGAATTGAGGGTCAAGTGTCAGGGTACGAGCGTCAAACTAAGCATATCCACAATGGAAGTCTGGTTAATCTCTAGAACGCCGGCTAGGCGATACAGTTTCAGGCGGTGTAACGCAGGGACACCAGGGACGGTGACAGGGCTGATCACCGAGGTACCTCCAGGCGGCGTAACATCTTGTGCCTGCGTGCGTGGCTTTTCTAAAACACATTTTTGTGGCGATTTTTCATGCTGAACACGCATTAGTTCGGAGGTACACCGGTGAGTCCAAACATACGGACCGCTTCGGAGTACTTGGTAGTACCGAAGCTAAGACTTGGCGCGTAGCGAGACTCGCTGCTAGTGTATCAATACCGGATGAAATTTTGCCATCGCAATACGGTCCTGTCTCAGTGGGATTGTGCGTTCAGTAGAGTATCAAGATAGGAGTAATTTAGCGAGTTCAAATATATACCTCGTCCCTAAACCATGTCGTCTGGGACTTCTCGATTACTGAGCTTGTCATTTCGTACATCACAATTTGTACAACCACGGATTATCACTGGATTACAGAATTCCCATGGAGAAGTACGATCAGAATTCCGTTGTTGCGATCATCGGAGTGGGATATGTCGGCGAACATCTCATGGAAGTCTTCTCTTCCGCTTACCAGGTTATTGGGTACGACGTCTCGGCTCCTCGAATAGAAAGACTGCGCTTGAAGCACTCACGGAGAGACAATGTCAAATTCTCAAGCGATGAGACTGATTTGAGAGACGCGGCACACTTTCTCGTTTGCGTACCGACCACCCTGGGATTGAACGGCCAAGTCGACTCCTCACATGTTCGCAGCGCAATAGACATGCTGCAACGCTACGCAACCGACAAGTCGATAGTGGTCATAGAGAGTACCGTTGCGGTCGGCATGACAAGAGCACTGCTTGGGCCGCTGGCCGGATCGCGCGGCATTCTTGCCGGGATGTCACCAGAGGTAGGATGACTTTTTGCTCCGAAAGAACGAGGACTGGCTGACACCTACCAGAGAATCGACCCAGGCCGAATCGAGCCGCCGCCTAAATCAATACCAAAGGTTGTCTCGGGGCTCGACGACATTGCCCCAGGCTCGCTGGACGCCATTGTACGTCTGTATGAGACGGTCTTCGATACTGTGATCCCTGTCAGCAAACCCGAAGTCGCGGAAATGTCAAAGTTGTACGAGAACTGCCAAAGGACGATAGCCATTGCGTACGCCAACGAGATGTCAGACGCTTGCCAGGGACTTGGGATCGACCCGTTCGAAGTGGCGCGCACAGCCGCCAGCAAACCTTTTGGGTACCTGCCCATGTACCCTTCATTGGGAATCGGGGGTCATTGCATCCCGGTCAACCCGATCTACTTCATGTCGACGTGCAATCTGCCGCTTCTCCAACAAGCACACGAGAAGATGATGTCGCGGCCGTCGCGAATCGCCAGCCAGCTTCTGGCAACTATGCTAGACGAGTGCCACAAAAATCATGGTTCGACACACCGCCCCAGGCTTCTTGTCGTCGGTGTCGGTTTCAAGCCTGGCCAGTCGGACCTGTCACATTCGCCTGGCCTGCAGTTGCTCAACTACGTGCGACAGTCGGGAGAGGTAGATCTCATGTTTTGCGATCCTCTGGTGAACCAGGAGGCGATACCCGAAGTATCAAGATTGGAAGAAGGTTCTTGGCAGCCTGACGTCTTGAGGTCGTTTGACGCCATCGTCGTAGCGGCGAAACAACCTGGCTTAGATTACACAGTTCTGGAAACCTTGGCAGATGTGCGGATTGAAGTCTGGAACCGATGATAGCTGACGCGGGCGTCAGAGGCCGACACATGTTCAGTCGCATTCGCAAAGTGGCTCTATTGGTTGCTTGGCTGGCCATCTTCTGTACATTACGGTTTTCGCCTACTTAATGGTAATACACGCCATCTTTCGTAATCGGCCCGAGGAAGTGATCGTCCGGTCTTCGCATTCGGTACCCAAGTCAAGACCGGCTAATTTTGTCTGCACAGTTGGAGATCGGGCCTAACGGGCGTTTATTTAGTCGATACCGGCGCTTTGGGGCATTGGCCCCTGAGGTTCGGATGTGAGCGGTGAGCTGTTGCACTACCACCGATGGAAACTCAAACTGAGGGAAGCTTGTGCAACCGGCTTACGGCCTTGCTATGATGGGAACGGATGTAGAAAAGCTGGACAGCGCCGCATCAGTCATCCAGATATCCAATTCATCATGAATAGTGCATTGGGGGCTTACCATCCATTCTACTACACTCCATTGGGAAATGTATGCCCGGTGATAAATCCACTCGTCAACGTTGAGACTATCAACTACGGAAGATGTGGACCAGGAGTTCAGCAACCTGAGTGTAGCCGTTGCTGCTCGAAAGACGTGAGTAGTTGAGATCTTGATACATCAACTGCCGTCTTACTCATCCATTCAAATAGGGCATTCGCATGACACATCCAAACTTTGCTGGTCAACATGCGTGTCTTTGGGACTATGGGTTAGCATGCGATGGCACCCAATGGCCTCCAGGATTCAATACATCAGATACGCCTCGGCCCAAGCTGGGAGATGTTCCCTACGGAACAAAGATCTTCAATTGCAAAGTGGAAAACACGCTCGCACTCACGTACGATGATGGTCCCCGGGAGTGGACAGCGGATTTGCTGGACATCCTGAAGGCCAACGGCGTCAAAGCGACGTTCTATATCAGAACAATCAACCTATACTGGGAGCTGATAGCCCATAAGTTCGACGAGAGGTCTGCGCTTATTAGAAGAATATACAAGGAAGGACACCAGATTGCGGGGCATACCTGGGGCCACAAGGACTTGGACAAGATGACTCCGCACCAACGCAGAGACGAACAGATAAAAGCAGAGATTGTTCTCAACGACATCCTAGGCTTTTTTCCGACCTACATGCGCCCGCCCTTCAACATCTGCGGCCCTCAATGCCAGGCCGAAATGGGAGAGCTCGGCTACCATGTGGTGAGTTTACAGAGAGCAGTGTGAAAGACCAAACTGACTGTGCCGAAAGACTGCAGCCGACCTTGATGGACGAGACTGGGCGGGTAATTACACCTACACGGAAGAGAACTTCATGGAGAAGATCAAGGGCAAGAACCGTAACGGGGTTCGGGCCTGGTTGGGCCTTGCACACGATACCCATGAAGGTACCGTGCATAGATATACGCAGTTCATGATTGACAACGCACGGGCGCATGGATACAAGCTGGTGAGGGTAGGGGAATGCTTGGATGACCCGGAGGAGAACTGGTATCGGGACCCTTTGACGGGTGACAGGCCTGTCGAAATGCCTCCCAGAGACATGCCGTGATCTATTCTTGTAGTTAGCCTTTGATGATAAGCAATGATCTGAACCGGGAATCTGCCTGTCAGCAATGCGGGGATGAAAGTCAGGACCGAAAGTGAGAAGCGAAAGTTACGTGCAGTCCATCCATGGATGGGTGCTTGATTAGTGATTATGTTCGGGAACGCGATGACGTTCCTGTCGCGTGCGGAAGATTGTCCGTGCCTCCGCCCGCGTAAACAGCTGTACCAGCAAGCCATCACCTTCATATACCAGCAACCATGTCTCGCACCGCCATACCACGTGCCGCACTACGTCTTAGCTCAAGAAGCCCGTTATGCACATCTTCGAGGTCAATTGAGGCGCCAAGCCGCAGTCTGTAAGCTTCAATCGCTGGTTTGCGCAAACTTCCCCGCTCACACCACCAGGCCTATATTGCGCCCAACACCACAATGCTCGTCACACGCCATCCGAAGCTTCTCCGTAAGCACACAACTACAGAAGAAGGCCGGTAAAGCGAATAAGGCCCACGCGCGAACCGACTCCGCACCTCCCGTCAGCAACCCGGGCCCATTGACGCCTACCGACGAAGCATACGATGTCTCAGGCCTGGAGGCACAGATCCTCAAGGCTCTGGAGAAGCTTACACACGATCTTAGTCAGTTGCGCAGTGGAGGAAAGACGAACCCCGAAATCGTGGAGAACTTGAAAGTGCAATTGGGCACGGCAGGAAACAAAGAGACCGTGAGACTGGGAGATATCGCGCAGGTTGTTCCCAGAGGGAGAATGTTCAATGTCATCTGCGGGGAAGACACGGTAAGTAAAACCGTTACTATAACAACACCACCAAGTGTTCTAACACTACACAGCACGTCAAGCATGTCACCAGCGCCATCGCCGCCTCTCCACACTCGCTCACACCCCTCACACCCGAACCCTCCAATCCTCTCACCATCCAAGTCCCGCTCCCACCACCGACAGGAGAGTCGCGTCGCGCAGCCGTCGAGTCGGCCGTCAAGGCTTCTGAGCGAGCAGACAAGCTGATACAGCAAGGACGCCAGGAACACAACAAGAAGTTGAGGAAGTTTGAGCTGAATCGCGATGTGCTACCGGATGACCTTCAGAAGGCGAAGAAGAAGATGGAGGAGGTGGTGAAGAAGGGACACGAGGAGGTTAAGCGCATCAGCGATGGCGCGAAGAGGGTGCTTGAGAGTCAGTAAATAGCATGGAATGGCATACTGCATTGTCGGGAAAGTACAAAAGTATTACATTATCATGCGCAAAACTTCTGGTGCACGACGCATGCGATTGAGAAGTGTTGCGCCTGGGCAGCTTTGTGTAGACTCTGCCTTAAGTCTGCCTCATAGCAGTTTGCATGTGCTTACACAACTTCTTAGCAAAACGGTGGCCAATCGAACCATCACGTACTACTTAAAACAGATGTTACAAGGTTTTGATTGGAGAATGTAGCAGACGGCATCAACACGAGCAATGCGAGCGGCTCAGCCTCCACAACAGTGCTTGGCGCGACACCCGCGCATCATCTGGTGACCATCAAAACCACCACATATAGGGAGTGGCTAGCCAGATTCACATGCCAGGCTCCATCTATAGGAGGATGAACATCGCGAGGAAGAGCTATGACGACTGTCATAGAGTCAGATGACACTGGTACAATCAGGCTTGGCGGAGCGGACGGTACGAAGGTATGTGTGCTGATACCGACAGCCTCTCTCATGACAGATGTTGACATGATCAGGGCACTGCAATAAATGCAACTTCCATAACCCCGGCTGAAGGTGTTGTGGTCACTCGCCTGCCTATGGAAGACGACCTCGAACTACCACCTAGCACCGATGCGAAGTCGATCTTCCACATCTACGAGAAGCATAAGTGTCATAAAAGCATTACGCCAGTCCTCGATCCTACTCTGGAACGACGGTCTGGCCCAACGATCAAAGAACAGAAGACTACACGCAAGGAGAAGAAAGAGCGTCTGGACGCTGGAGTACCTAGTGTAGAACAAGACGATAATGCTTTCTTCTTTCACCGACCATATCTCGCCTTCCACATACCGCCTCACGTACTTTACACTGGCAGTGGTAAGGACACCGCGCAGCCAGCTATCTTGATACACGAAGGCTGTTTCTGGAAAGAGTATAAACTGCAACTTCTCCCATCCACCCCCAGCATACTCGACCCACGCGGTGTGGTACCATGGCGCTACAACGCTGTAGACAAGAACGCCCTCAAGCACGATCACCACAAGCTCAAAGGGTACAAAGTGCGGACGTGGAGGTTGTGGGGTGAGACGGGCAAGGAATACGTTCGCTCCGTGAAAAACATCCGTAAGACTGGCGAAGGACGGGATCCTGATGTGATTAGGACGACGAATGGCAAGTTAGAAGAACCTGCGACAGCAGAAGAGGTGGTCTATCTACGGTGGAAGAACCCTCTCTCATGTCATACGAGATGCTATCACTTCAAGTATGCTGGTGTTGACTTCTTCTGGAAAGGAACAGGTACTATCAAGGAATCTCGTACGTGTGGTGTCTTGTTGCGATTTAACCATCTGAAGTTAGTCGCTAGGCTGCCTGTGGCCGAAGAGAAGAAAGAGAGGCGAGATGAGGTGTGTTTGGGAGTATACACGTCGTCTGTTGCGAGTAGAAAGAGTGGTACTTTGGAGTTCTTCGATGCTGCCATCTTGCGTTTGGTTGATGAATATGCGCCTGATGTGCTTGCTCGGAGTGGGGAAGGGACGGAAGAGGAAGAGGTGGAAAGTGCGAGAATCTTGCGCATGAAGAGGAGTAGGTTGTATCAGGTATTTGTGGCTACTGCGATGTGTATGATCAAAAGTGAGAAGGAAAAGAGGCACACTTTGCTGGATTTGCTGGTGAATATTGCTGAAGGTGGTGCGGGTGGCTGACTATGAATGGTTGGTTTCTCTTGAGCATACTCCAGTTTGGATATACCACTAAGTGTCCTTTGTCAAATCATGACAGTGTATGCATGCAGTTTGAGTGTAAAGTATGCTGGTGTGTTGCTGGAGCCTCGGCTGGTTGCTATCGATAAGACTCGCGCTAAACATGGAGGTCATGACGTGGGAGATGGCCATTTCTAAGAATTCGACGCCACCACTCCTCCAACACCCCATCTCCTTCCACCGACTCTCCTGTATGCCCGCATTTGCGTTTCCGAGACAGTACACCTGCGCACGCTGTTTGCGCACGAATCGAAGATCCAATGTCTTCGTTCCATCCCGACCCGCGCCGGCAGGGCCTCTGAGGCGATACGGGCAGACGGCAACACAGCGCAAAGATGAGGATGACGGCAAACAGGAGCAGGAGGACGCCGGAAACAATGGCGATGGATCAGGCGCCGAGGCCGAACAGGAGGAAGGCGCATTCACGCGACGCATGCGAGAAATGAGTGAAGACGCGCTGGAATCGGGAGGACATGGCGCCGTCAAAGCTGTGGAAGAGGCAGGCTTCAGTGCAGACCTCAAGGCACAGCTCGAACAGCGAATCGCATCTGCAAACCTCAAGTCGTCCGAAGCAGAGCTGCCCGCCTTCGCCTCCCGCCACACGCGCGAGCTTGCCACAACAGAAGCCTGGACCGGCACCGAGTCCATCCACGATGCGAGCCTACGCATGCTGAACGACGCCCATAAGCCGCTACGATTGGGGCGACCAGCCAAGATGCCAGGCGTTCCTATACCCCAGTCCATCGATACCGGACATGCTCGGAGCAAGGAGGGGCGGGGCGTGAGATTGGCCAACGCACGCGACAGGAGCACCGTCTACGCTTCCATCAATGAAGACGAGAGTATAGAGGCTTTCGACCGAGAGAAGCGGTTGCAGGACCTCAAAGACCGCTTCGAGCCAGGTGCGCGCACCATCGTCCCTGGCTCTATCCAAGGGATTGCATCTCTTGCGAATAAGAGGATTGAAGATGCCATCGCCCGTGGCCAGTTCAAGAACATCCCGCGCGGAAAGAAGGCCAACATCGAAAGAGACTACAACGCATCGAGCCCCTTCATCGACACGACCGAATACTTCATGAACAAGATTATACAAAAGCAAGAGATTGTACCGCCGTGGATCGAGAAGCAGCAAGAGCTCACTTCGGCTGCAAGCAAGTTCAGAACTCGACTACGGGCGGACTGGAAGAGGCATGCTGCGCGCTTGATAGCCAGCAAAGGCGGATCGCTACTCGACCAAATCAAGACAGCTGAGGCATTCGCAAAGGCAGAGCTGATTGCCAACCCTCTGAGAAGGAAACAACAAGAGACGCTCACCACTGTTGACGATGACGGGCACATGTCACAGATCACTTTGTCAGGCGGGCTGAAGGTAGACTCAGAAGGTGAAGGATCGAATGCGGAGCCAGTAGTCACAGAAGAAGTTGTAGCAAAAAAGGTTACATTTGATGCTTCCCCAGAAGCTGTAGCGCAGGACCCAGCAGCAGCTACCGTAACAGAAACAACCACGGAAACCATGGAAGTACCTGTTCAAGCTCCCGAACCAACAGTGGCACCAGCGCCGTATCCCTTCCGTGACCCAGACTGGGAGCGTATCGAAAGCGGTTACTGGAAAGTCGCTATCAAGGACCTCAACGACAAGGCGCGCAGCTACAACCTCCTCGCACCCGAGCTAGCTAAACGACCCTACTACAATCTGCAGCGCGAGCTGAACTCCTGCTTCGCCGACGTCGCGCCCCAGCTCGCCGGGGCCATCCTCGAACGCGCACGCAAACCGCCCAAGAAAGCAGATAGTTGGCAGAGCTCCGGCCAGAAGAGCGTGCTCGACAACATCATTGGAGGGCCAGTCCGCGTGCGAGATGAGCGCCGCGAGAAGCAGTATGGGTTCCGCCAGTTTTGGAAAGACCTCTGGGCCGACAAGTCCAGCAACCCTTATTGAGCCAGTCACCACCAAGCCCGATCCTCGCATCCTCATCCCGCGGACTCCGAAACGCTCTCGTCACTGTGTCCTTTCGAAACCCACTCGCCCACCGTTGTATGTAGCTACCGCGCCCTTGCTGCACGACATCGAGAGAGAGGAACATGATCGACACGCGCATACGCTTTCGCCTATCCCTGGCTGTAATCCTTCGTAGCGACCTCGAAGTCAGTGATCAGCAACACGAATTCCAGGTTTTCAAGTTCTTGTTCAGGCTTGTCATGGGCATATGCACGTGTTTTCAAATGGGGACGGATCTACATCCTTTGACCCGGAATGAGCGGTGCCCCCCGCTACCGACGCCCTGGGTCGATAACGCAGGCGTGAGGCGTCGGGAGTGCCGTGACGGGCAGGGGGGTTGGATGAAGTACTACGGCCGTACACCCACCACAACAAACACCAACAAGACTCATCTGTGGGGTTTCGCGACTACCCAATGTCCCAATCTGTCGTCAGCTGCATGAGTCCGCGGAGCTCGGCGAGTCCGCCCTACGTGGGAGAGAAAGTGAGGCGTTTGTTGCTGCTTCGAACCTGTTTACCGGGAACCACGGTTTCTCGGATTCGGATACGCTTAATACGCGACTTCATGCGTGAATCTCGATGGTCGCGTTTAGCCAACTATTGGTCTCTGATATACGCAAGGAGACGGTGCTTAGTTGAGCTGACCGGGTTCAGCTCCTCGGCTCGGATGCATTGTTACTCAACCGGGCAGTACCTGCATATGCTTTCTCGGGTCGCTCAAGCGGCAGTTCTAGGCGGTACTTCCATGCGTTTTCCTGCTCTATAGCCAAGCGTTGTAGAGCTTACACGAACCCGACAGCCTGTTAGCGTGTAGACATACGCCGAGGCAGAGAGCAAGTTATGTTGGTTATCGGTGTGCATGTCGCTTTCTCAGCACCTCGCGTGTATGTATGTGTATGTGTGGATGACGGATGACAGACGACAGCGGAGTACACCGCTGCGTTATGGTTGTCATGTCTTGGCGGCTCCAGATACTTGGAGTAGGTCGCCGATATCCGGGTCTCTCTTCCAATTACTACGCCTTTATCATAGTGGTCGGAACGTCTCACTGGTTGCTTCATTTTATTCAGCACTATCAACAATACAGGTGCGGTGATGCTTGGGTCACCAGTGTCGGGACCTGGCGGGTTGCTCTCGATACGAGTTTGTACTGTTGAAGCTCGCGAGTAATTTACATTGGTGCGTTCTACTCGCCAGGCGTGAGATACTGTACTCTGACGTCGATCGTGATGCTTGAAGTTATCTGCGTATGCACTATCAAGTTGCCGATATGCAGCGCGGCATCCCGTTCGAAGATCAAAGCAAAGAAGACGTCAGACCAGTATTGTTGTTTGCTTCTTCCGTGTGGGGTAGTGGAGTAGCCGCCCCTGTCCTTTAGCACTATCATGATAGCGTATACTGCACCCGCATGCACATCATTCACATCTCAGAAGAACACATGAACGAGACGCAAAAGCAACATCACTTTCCAGTCCCCAGAAGAACTACTCTTGAGTCATTGCAAAGCAAGCATCATTGGTGGAACAACCCATCCCTTTCAGAAAAAAAGGTAACATTGTCGATCCCACCCCATTACCATCCCCACACACACCTCCATCGAGCCAACTAACAACATACGTCTAACCATATCGCGTAATCCTACTTTCCATTGTATCCAAAAGCAGTAACGAATGTGACCGTTTCCTTCTTTCGCAGGTTCCCAAAGGGGAACGAGCATACTACCAAGCTATACCGCTTCCAGCGACGACCGCAATGCCTGTTTCTGATGAGATGTGACAAGACCCGCTTTCGTTGTGGTACGTCGGTACCGAACTGAACAACCACGTACCCGCCCACACCTGTGTGGCAGCTGTCACAGCGGATGCGGTCTAGCCCGTCAGCTTAGCCACGCGCGGTAGCGGTGCTGGATGCCACACCCACGCTGACGGCACTGTCACTGCGCGTTCTGGAGTGGTGATTCGAGCCGGTGGACGAGTGCCTCTTCTCCTTGCGGACCGTGGTGCGCTGGCGTACGGTATTGCTGACCTTCCGTTCGGTTCCGGTCACGACCCGCGCGTTGGGTAAGGCTGCATCCACGTCGACGTCGTTTGCGTTGGAGCGAGGGCTTTCCTTCTTCGATACGCTCTGCGTGTTTGCTGTGTGGTTGCTGCTCTTGCCAATGCACGTCTTGTTGGTAGCGCCGCTGGCTGTCGTCTTGCCTGCACCGTCGTATGGCTGGCAGAAGCAAATCCGCAGTATGTGCCCGGCAAGCGGTCCGAGGACCCCTACTTCGCGCCGAGCTGTGGGTTGACGGGGATGTACTCGTTTCTTTCTAGGTCTGGCTGTAGCCTCACCTGCGCAGCTTCGGGGCATGCTAACGTATGCGGTTGCTGCGGCTCTACGGTTCGCAGCCTTTCGCTTGCGAAGGACCCTTCCTTTTCCAGACGAGGTGCAACTTGCGATGATGGCCGTGATCAATCGGGCTCTGTGGAACCTCGCCTCATATTTGAGGTCCTCGGCGAATGATCGAGCTGATCTGCGAGGTTTGTAGCGCGGGCGTACATTCAGCTTCTCGTACGAATGACGCGGTCTGGAGCAAGGCGCAAGACTTTCGGTTTGCGCTATGCCGTCACAGCCTTGAACTAACGGTGCAGGCAAGATGAACGAGTCTATGGAGCCAACCGTAGAGTCGATCTGCGACTGCTCAGGGCGTTTGTAGTTGTGATGGAAACGTAGGTGCATAGGGAGCGGAACCGAGGATGTGGGTGGTGTGGTCATTGGCCTCAAAGAGGGCCTTGGGGGTGGCAGGCATGTCGTTGTCGGGAACGCACGATAGGTTGCAGGTGTGGTTTTGTTATCGTAGTACGATGTGGTTGCAGTGGGTGAGCCGCTGAAGTCCGAAGCGCTCGTAGTGCCTGGCGTCGAACTACCCTCTGGCTGGATAAGATTGCCGGACGGCGAGAAGAATGAAATCTTCGGTGTGTCGTAGTTGGGGCGAACGATGCCCGATGCTGCAGCTATTGGTAGTAAAGACGTCAATGCGGATGAGGTGATTGAGCGACGCGTAGGTTCTGCCTCAGCAACTTGATCCGGCTCCGGAGGTGACTCAGAGAGTGAAGCTTGCCGTTCTAGCTCGGCCATCTGCGGAGTGAACCATACTGGCGCGATAGGTGTGGGCGAACGCGAGGGACGCACTGGATGAGGGAAGTCGTGCTGAAGGTCGACATCGACACCAACTACTGTTCCCGAGTAGGAAGTGGACATGGTACTACAGAAGCTCGCATTGTGACTAGCCTCAGTCGCGTGGTCATGCTCTGTGAGTGAATGGTTGTTCTTACCTGCACCATAAAATGTGTGTCCAGCTGAGATAGTGTTGTTGGCCTCGTTTGACAGCGTTGGTACTCTAGCGCTACCGCCATCGTGCGCCCCATCGCGTGCTTCCGGGTACACAAGACGCACAGAAGAGGACCGTTCATGCGGGCGGACTGTAGCCGACGGTGGTAATAGCTTTGACACGGCTCCAAATGCCGTTTGCGACTCGAGCGTATACGGGTCGACGTCAGAATTGGGGACTATCGCATGAGCTGAGAAACTAGGATCAGCCATGGATGACTGCCCGTTTCTGGCCTGATTCTCTGAAGCTAACGCTTTAGTCGCGCTTAGGGCCTGGGATGCAGTAGGGAACCGATATGGCGTGTCAAATGTGTCATCGCCCAGTTGAGACATGTCAGATGCCTGCAATTGACTTTGTAGGCTATCCTCGCTCGCACCCGGCCGATCGCTATGGTTCTCAACGAGCGACATCTGCGTCGAGGACGACCTAGACCGGGTTCTCGAGGCAGCTCGAACATTGTGTATAACGCCACGAAAGAAGCTTTTGACATTGCTGGTATTAGCGTCGGAGTCGGCCTTGCCATTCCGATGGGTAATAGATTGCGATGGCTTAAGACTGGGAAACGCGGATGGGATTGCGGCATCATCAGCCCGGAACGAGTTGCTGTAATCCTTGCACAAGGGCACATCGTGTGTATTGCTTGGTGCTTTCAACAGATGCCCTCGCTGCACATCTTCTGTGATGCGCTGGAGAACATGTTCTTCTGGTGTGTATGAGATTCTGTGTGACGAGCGCGTCGGCGAGGCATTTTCCACCACACGGAGTGAAGGGAAGCGGCCCACGCTGAGGAGGGAGCCATGTGAGTTTAGCGTCGAGTAAGAACCTTGCTCCACAATAGTGGCTAGAGGCGCGCCATTGGAGCGATTTGCGAGCCGAACGGCAAGATTGTAGGGAACGCCTCGAGCTCTGGCCTGCTGCTGATATTCCATGGCGTGCTGCATATCTCCGGTCCCGGTAATATCGTGGCAGGCATAATCATCGTGATCTTGTGCGATGTAATGCCGATCGCGCCCTTGGCCTTGCGTTTGCGGTTGCATTTGCGACGAGCTCGTATCTAGGAAAGCTCTGTAATAGGCGAACGGATCCGGCTGCATGGCATGGGTCGATCGGAAGGACGGAGTGGCGTGGGTCTCGTTCAACGGATCTGATGGAGCTGGACCACATATTGGTTCCTGGCCGTTGCTGCGGTCTAGTAGACTGGCGTCGCGGGGCTGTGCTGTAGGCATGATGCTCATGTCCTGTCATCGATATTGTCAAAGATGAGATCCGATCGATGCTAGATCATAATGTGCATGAGTGTGGGACCCTGCTGATAGCAGAGCAACTTTGTTTGTGCGCCGCAGGGCATCCTGGGAAGTAGCAGGCCTTCCGCAGCGCCCTTTCCGAGATTGTATTGTTTAGGCAGGAGCAGCCATGACCTGCTCCTGTGCAACCGCCCTGTCGTATCTCGTGGCGGCTCATTCACCACTCGGAGGGCATGACCACGACCATGGTATTCGCCGACTAAAGTCTCCCGAATCGTACGACCATTGCAGTCCGCCTAGGAGACAGCTCCAGTGTTTTCTGTCCTAGCGAAGGGAACATGTTCGACGCGGCTGTGTGCGGAGGGCCATCCAATCAAAATGCTCTGTACTCGCAGCCCCTAAGCCCCACGACCCTTCCTGGAATTGGCGATGATGCGCAAAAGCAAAACTGTTGCTGTGCTTCTTCGACCTCAACGTCGGACCCTCCCGTACGCAAGTACATCGCTCCAACTTGCTCGTGGCGGTTGCTCCTGCATGCAGACCCTATGCCCCAGCCTGCCTATCTTTGGCTAGCGCCGCTGTGAGATCATGACCCTTATTCATGGACAAAGTGCTCATCCAAAATTGATCGCACAAGCAGGTGATTAGCGAAGGATTCGAAGATCACCTACGCATGCCGCAAATGGCTCCATCAAGAATGCTGGTTTTGCATAGCTTCCATAGCCTCTGTTCACAGGCTGCACAATCAGAGTCTAATGATCGGCAAAACAAGCCGGGTCCGTACAATCAGGCCGGCGACGGGATCAAGTGGGTCGTGCCGCTTACATTGTATACAATGCGTTGGGAGACGAAACGGTGCACTAATCCAGGTTCGCCGATACGGAAACCAGGCTGGCTAGTTTGACGCAGTCTCCACACAAGCGACGTACTTAAGGCTGGGGTAGCGATGAGTTGGCCAGGTTCACCATGGACCTTGTAACCTATCACGGTCGTGACAATTATAGAGCTCTGTTCCGAGCACATGTGGCTTGTCGTACGTCTTCTTCTCCATGTACCTTCATCCATCGTTGACGAAGTCCCAGGATAGCCTGGCAAGATTGAACTGCAGAAGCGACTTCCAGCTCACACCATCCACGAGCTCTCAGAGCTACTGCAGCAGCAGATTGGATACGGAAAAGCCGCCGTTTATCCATCACCGATGTAACGGAAGGTAACAAGCGATATGTCACCTATGCGATCCATTCGGTCGGTGCGAGTGCGCTGAGAATACTGAAAATAGACACGGGATGTGTCTCGTTGTCGTCAACCTATGAGCCAGCATGATGACGGTAAGCAAGGGGTAACTTTTCCAGGTAGCTGACCGGTACTGACCTTCGGCAAGTTCAATTCGCGGTGGTCGCCAGCCGTGCGCTCGCTGTAGACTCGTTTGGCTCGGGCTTAGCCGGGCTAGACGAGGCTGCACGACGCGGCAAAGCCTTCCATTGCTTCCAGAAGCTGTACGATTTGGTACATGTTCGATGAACAAGATCCGCCCAGCAGCGAAATGCGCATTTTTCTCAGTCTAGACACACGGTTGTGAGACTGCTCACACCTGTCCGGTCAATTGTGCTGATTCAACTTCCATGCTTCAGTGGTGAGTGTTATCGAGCCCTGGAAAACGCCCTTAAGCCAGGCTTACTGATCACATTGAATTTCTGTCCGTTGCCCTGCACTTGACGGCGATCCTTACCTCCAGTAGCTGAGGGCGGACACAATAAGTATCACGCTGGGCCGTTGTTGACAGCTGGATGGCCTTCGGGCATCTTGAGAATTCAAGTAACTTGAATGTCTAGCCTGGGGTGTGATTTGTCGACCTGTAGAATGGAGTGGATTATTGATCTCACGTAGAGACATGACTCAGTTCGGGCCGTGCTTTCTTGCACCCACGCTCTCCAAGTGTGATGCTCTTCGTCGAGCGCCTTTGGTCCGCAGGAGCTGGGCGTGACAAGCCGGTCTCCATTCACTCCGCCCAATGCGCCACGCTCGTGAGCCATGTAGTCGTGCTCCGCGCTTGGGTGGCATTGGCTGGTCAGAAAGTCTTCGAAGCAGCCATCTCCCTGCCGACCGTGGATGCTTGTCGTATTCCTGTCTGACCAGCGCTCAAGTCCGTCGACCTGATTCTCGGGATTGCATCAGGTCCTCGACTCACCGGCCCGATGATCGCAGTGCGGATGTTGTTTTGTCGTCAGGCTAAGCTACACTATCGCTGATTTAGCTAGCGCCAACAGGAGGGTATAATGATGTGGAGAGATCTACAGGTCATTATGAATCGCTGCACGCCCATGGATCTGAAGCTATGTCCTCGCAGCAAATCAGAACAGCGGTTTTCGACGCATCTACCTGCCGTTGCTGCACGGGAGGATACGCGAGACCCATGTGATCCACCCTGTCCACGTCAATAGATCGGCGCTGGCCAGGCATAACACCTAAGATTCGCTAGCTGCATGTGAAGCCACCTCGAGAGCATGGCGCCGGGGCCAGGCGAGTAAGGGTGGGAAATGGGTATTTCTCGAATCAGATCTCCATTATCTCATAATGTGGCGTATGCGCCGTGTCACAGCGGAAGGAAAGAGGACGGGACGGACCTTGCTTGTCACATGACAGCGACTCCATAAGATCTTCCTGCACGGCTGTCGACCCCAGATATAAGACAAAGAGACCTGACTTTCTGTTTCCCATATCTAATTTCACCTGAGCTGCTCTTTTCGTACCATTGGCGTGATGAACGATCCTATTAGGGAACGTCGCCATACCATGACCCAGCCGCCTCTTTCCCAGAGCGCCAGCAAGAGCGAGCTTTGCAATCGACTTAAACTCAGTGAGAGTACACACAGACTGCTTCTCGTAAGTATTCGCCTGACAATAGAAGGCCGTCCGCTAACCCACACGCCCTCCGTAGGCCGAAGCTGTCGCTGCCAGAAACGCATTGAGCTCAAACCGCTACAATTTGACCGAGCAATCGAGGGCAGACCCCTCTGTAGCAGAACCATATAGATGGGACGAGTTATCGGAAACGTCGAAACATCTGCATATTTTGATGATCGTACGCGATGCTTGCGCGGAAACAAGACCGTATTATGACATTGGTCGTTACATGCTTCATGTCAACGAAGAGAACTGGGTCGCGAGATGGTACCTCTGGCATAGCTTCCGTTACAGGTAGGTCGACTAAGGTTGTCGTGCAGCTGGGCTCGACACTGATCTTTGCAGAGACAACCGACCGAGGGAGCGAGTTCCTAATAACAACGGTACGTATATTTTTGAGTCGATGAATAGATGTTCTGTTCGGTATCTGGTGCAGGTTAACTAACGGATAGTAGGAAACAAACCATACTATGATCCCGCACGCGACCATTACAACGGACGACAGCCCTAGCTTTCAACACCAGGAACACGTATACTTGCGACGGCATCTGTTTTTGTAGATGTTGTAGGTGTCGCGTAGGTTCGGTCCATGTTGGATGATGTAGGTGTTGCGGTTTCGGTCTACTCAGAGGATCTGTTTGCTCTTCGAGTGTGTTTCATCCAACCGTGCCCTTCGTTTTCTGGTTTTAATACTTGGTTAAGACTTTTCCTTTCGAGTTTCGATGTTTCGGTATTGCTGGTCGCAATAAACGCTCATTCCAATTTCGGTTGTTGTTGGCCGCAGTTGTTCCTGCGTTTCAGGAATTGATGACGTCCTCTCTTGCTTTGCGTGCTCTTCTGCATGCGCGACATGTCTTCATGTTACCCCAATATTCATGCCCTCAGTTGCTGCATCCAAGCTGCGCCGTATCATACCGCAAAGAAACGAAGTGAGGATGAGGTTGTGAAAGAAATGTGCCTCGTCGAGTTACTCAATAAGTGGGGCCTCTCCCAGGTCAGGGGTCCAGTGCCTGCCGAAGCAGCCCGGGCTGGTAAGAAGACATTCACTTTGGCAGGTGCGATGGCCCGGCGGTACTGTGCACTTATCAAGCATTGCGAGCCTTCAGTTAGCGGTGTAGAGATTCTGCTGATATTACTTCGTGTTAAGATACATGATCCGAAAATTGTCGGCGTCTATGCACCTTCCGACCCGATGAGGTATTGATCACACATGTGGTTTGTAGCTTTCAGCATCACTTTCGGTCATGGCGGACCATTTTCGTGGAGCGCGTGTAGATCATTGCGGATTTGCGCAATAACCGACGTAGATGGCTGTTGGATAGACATGGGCATTCCCAACATCAATTGCCTCACTGACTACAATTATCATGTATCTCCGGAAAGAATCTGTGTATTTCAAAGCATGGCCTGCAATTGTTTCACGAAAATACCTAGCGGTCGTCCGATCGGCACAAGCCCTGTTTCCCAAACGCCTTCGCTATGCAAATCAGAAGGATCTTCAGCTTTTTAAAAGTACAGCACGAACATGCGATCAAGCAGTCGCGGCCGCTGTGCTGCGTGCAACTTGTTCCTGGAGAGCTTTTTTGTATTGACTCCGCGCAGCGTCGATTGCTCGAATCAAAGGGTCCACAACTTGGTTGACGGCCTTCGCGCCTCCTCTGATAGCTCCGGGGTCGAACTTCCTCTTCTTCCTCTCTCGCTGGTTGGCGAACTCATTCTCTTTCCGTGCATGCTCGATTCTTGCTTCGCGCTCTGCTTCTGCCATATCGGCTACCGCCTTGATACGGTCGAGCGATTTGTCAAGCGTCTCGATGAGACGCGCAATCTCGCCCGCGCGGTCGGGGTCTCCTGAGTAGAACACGGCCCAGAAGTAGTGCAAGAACTCGACCGTCGTGTTATGGGTCATGGTGAGATTCTCTAGAACCCCTTCCGATACGTGAAGCTCC